CAGACAGACAGACAGACAGACAGACAGACAGACAGACAGACAGACGAAATGCTGTCTATCTACCGTATGTATATGAAGGTTCTTGGAGTTGTATGCAATCCCTAAGCCCTTGGTGACCTGGAGGCAACACTTTTGGCATTTGCCACATTGATATCAGTCATGCTACTTCCCTTCCCCAATGCCTTAGGACCAACCCTCCAAAGTTTTATCAACAGCTCTGCAAGCTGAGGTATAAAAGTATATACATTTACTGGTTTTTTAATCCAGACAGATCTATCTTCTTCCTGGGAACCCAAACACTTCCATTTATTACTCAATAAATCTTACCAAGTACATTAACACTGAAGCTTTTACTTTTGTCTCCAGCTGTATTGGAGGCAACACAGGTATATCTCCCTGTGTCAGCGACTTCAGCTTTTGTAATCTGAAGAAAGCGTCCACTAGACATTAACTGATGGCCATCATCCTCTAGAAGAGTTTGCCCATCTTTTAGCCAAGTGATTCCTGGAACAGGATTCCCTTTGGGGGGGAAATTGCAAAATTAATAATTGAATTTTGAATCTTGAATACAAGATGGCCCTTTTACATTTTTTTGTTTGGTAAGTCTTTAAAAGTAAAATGCAAAGTGATATCCTATCTCAGAGTAAACCAGAAGGCAATATATATATGAATGAATACAATACATTTGGTAATGTACATGTGTTGTGTGTATGCTATATATAAACATGCATAGTATATACATACTTACATACATATATAGAAGCTATTACCCATAAATTTACAAAGACAACTGAGGCTGAAGCCAAAATAAAATGCTTCACTCCATGCCCCTCCTCCACACTTGCACTTTCAAAAGTGCAGTAAACTTACATGCAGAAATAACCCAATTAAGACATCACAGGCAGGGTGGACAGGTTGCAAAGAGTATCAGGGGTGCTCCTTCCTCCTGCACCCTGCATCCTTCCTCTATGTCTATGACCTCTCAGTTGGGCTAATAGACATGAAGGCAGGATGCAGGATGAAATGGAGCAAAACAATAGTGGGCGAGCTTCATTCTCAACTAGTAGGTATAAAGCATCCATTAGTGACAGAACCAGCAATACACAGCTGACAGAACCCAGCTCTCTTTTCTGGTTTAAATTGATCATCTGAATGCTAAAATTATGAGTAATGGAAATGTCCAGCACTTTTCAATACAGCAATACCCATGTATATAAGGACCCTTTACAAGACCTGACAAATACTTGAGAAAACACTCATCCAGCATTATATGGGTAGATGAATCTGCAGAGCAAGATGTCCAGTCTCTTTTGCATCCCAAGTCAAAATGGCCATGGAGGACAGTACCCAGTGACTGGAGGGGAGGGGGCTTGCTCACAGCAGCCTAAAGTGGCCAATAGGAGCTGGGCAAATTCCAGACTGACTGAATCTTCAATCTCATTGCCTATGAAGCATCCTAAATTGCATTATAGCAAAACTGTGTCAGGAAAACAAGGAAAATAACACCTTAAAACTAGAAAAACTAAAGACACTTTTATGTTGCCTCCAGTATGAGATGAAGGCAATGTGACAAGGATCCAGATAACTAAAAATAGATCTTCCACAGCTAAAGGAATGTAAAGATGAGCTGTATGTGAGAACTAGTGCTAAATCATGGTTACTGTTAATTGGGATTATACAAATATGAAAACCTATATGCTCAAACAATTGCTCATTTATTATGATATTACTACCATCATATAAAGAAAAATATAATTGAGGCAACTAGGAGTATCAACCTGTCAATTTGGGGGTGAGGTCTGCACTCAAGAACTACATGTCAAAACCCAGGACGATGACCATAGTGGAAAGAGGAACCGGTGAATGGATTGGCTCCTTGGAATTCTTCTCCAGAGCAAGGAGAGGACCAGGATCACCCACAAGTGCTCCATACAGTGTCTCCCCATGAGGAGACCATAAGACAGCAGTCTCCAGTGGGTTTTAGAGCTCTGGGAGCCAAGAGAAAGTCATCTTGCCTAAGCCATGATTCAGCGCCTTCAGAAGGACACTGGGTTCAGATACTTCCTTTCTTAAACACTTTAGGAAATTGCTTGTTAATGGCTTTTTGGATGTTAAGAACCTTCAGAAGGGCAAGT